TGAGGTAGATACACTCCTTGGAGAGAACAATCATTGAGAAAGAAGGGCTGCCTATGCACAGGGAGACAGCTCAGGGGGCAGGAGTCCGTGGAGGGATGGACACTGGGAAGAGGTAACTATGGGGAGGAAGTGGGAGGGAAGCTGTTGCATTGTGGTAAACTGTGGTTGATGTCATGAGACAAAGTATATGTAAACTGCTGTATGGAAAGTGAATTTGCTCTGTAAATCTTCACCCAAATCACAATAAATAAATAAATAATAAAAAAACTGCTCAGCTGAGCCTAGCCAAAATCACTAACTTGTAGATTTGTGAGTTAAATGGTCATTCTTTTAAACCACTAAGTTTTGAGACACATTGTTACACAACAAGAGTTAATGCAGTCCTTGAGGGCAGCAACAGTATCTTGTTCACTAATGGCGTGGTGCCTAAGGCATTTATTTGACTGCTAACCAGAAGCCTGGCTGTTCAAACCCACCAGCCACTCCTCGGAAGGAAGACTGGGCAATCTGCTTTCATAGAGATACCACCTTGGAAACCCAAGGAGGGGTCGTTGAGGGGTCGTGATGAATTGGAGTCGACTCAACGGCAGTGAGTTTGGAGTATGGTTTATGGCACCCACTGTATCAAGAACAGTGCATGGAATATTATGAGGCTCAGAAAACAGTAAGTTAATGAACAAACTAAAGTAGAATCAATGTGAGCTGATACTAGACTGGACTTGTCACTAGAAATCTGATCTCATCTATCCTAGCCACCTCACCCCAATGAACTATTTCCCAGACCTGATGTTGATGTCTGTTATAATCCTTCAGTAACAGTGGAGGAGTAAAGGATTGTTCTTAGCACATTGCTTCATTTCCAGTTTACTTTCTGGAAGGATCCATCTCTCCCATTCCCTATATTTGTTTCTCAAGGACAGGCTGATGTCCCTGGAAGGTTGTTTTGTACTTTCTGGGTCAAACTGTGTTCTTGTGCATTCACCATGAGCTGGTTTTTTCTGCTTTGAAAACCTAAGAGCTTTCTTCTCTTCTTTGCAAACAGCTGAGCATTTAAACTGAACAAGAAGAAAGGGTCAAATGCAAAGTGGGAAGTCAAACCAGTTCATTCTACTTTGACCCCTGGGTGAGAATTTGCACTCCACCTCAGATAGACTGAGTGAGAACCTACATTTTAACAAAATCCCCAGGTGATTCTTATAGTTCCCCATGTCATTTTTATAGATCCCCCAGGAGATTTTTATGTATATATTCTTGTTAAAATGTAGATTCTGATTCAGTATATCTGGAGTAGGAGTGTGAATTCTCAGAAGGGGTTCAAATGAGAATGAAGCAGTTCAGAGCCCTGATGCGAGCTCTGGTAACAATGCCTAAGGCACTTGACTGCTAACCAGAAGGGTGGCGGTTCAAACCCACAAGCCACTCCTCGGAAGGAAGGTTGGGCAATCCTACTTCTGTAGTGATGCTGCCTCAGAAACCCAAGGAGGGGTCGCTATGAGTCGGGGCCGACTTGACGGCATATAACAACAACAACAACAACAGCACTGAACCACTGATGATGCCAGCTATAACAATCAGAGTCAGAACAGTGGCTTCTCTTTGTCCAAATACATCAAGGATCCAAAGATTATCACAGGGCTCCTGATGCACACCCAAAAACCGAACCAAACTCACTGCTATTGAATCGATTCCAACTCATCACGACCCCTCCTTGGTGTCCGAGGCGGTATCTCTACGGAAGCAGATTGCCCAGTCTTCATTCCGAGGAGTGGCTTTTGTTGTTGTTGTTGTTGTTTGCCGTCGAGTCGGCCCTGACCACCACCCTTCTGGTTAGCGG